ACGAGAAATACCCAAAATGGTTCGGGACCTTTCCCTACCCGTATATGAACGGCAGTTTGCATCTCGGACACGCTTTCACCATCTCCAAGATCGAGTTCGCTGCAGGGTATCAGCGCATGCTTGGCAAACGCGCCCTCTTCCCCCACGGATTCCATGTAACCGGTATGCCAATCAAGGTGTGTTTCGATCCTGTTTTGCGTGTCCTTAGCCGTTCATGGTCGAGTAGGCATCCGCCGATAAACTCATCCGCGAGATGGAAATGTTTGGGCCGGACTTTGAAAATTTCGATGCTGTCCAGCAAAAGCTCATTGAGGAAGCGGAGGAAAAGGAGAAAGCTGTCGTCGAAAGGGATGGCCCCGTCGACAAATCCAAAGCAAAGAAGGGCAAGCTGGCTGCAAAGTCAACAGGTCACGTCTATCAATTCCAAATTCTACAATCTATCGACATCCCCACCGCTGACATCAAGAAATTCGCTGACCCTCTGCACTGGCTAAAACATTTCCCCCCGATCGCAATAGTGCGTATTTCGTTTTTTTTTTCTTCCGTCGCGCCCCCAACAGTCTAGCCTACAGGAAGACCACACCAACTTCGGCTCCCGAATAGACTGGCGGCGCCGGTTTCTGACAACCCCAGCAAACCCGTATTATGACACCTTTGTCCGTTGGCAGATGAATAAACTACACAAACTGGGGAAAATCAAATTCGGCGAGCGGTACACCATTTACAGCCCGAAGGATGGCCAGCCGTGTATGGACCACGACCGTTCGGATGGCGAAGCTCTTGGCCCACAAGAGTACACCGCTGTCAAAATGGAGGTCGCCGAGTGGGGTGCAGCCGCTCAGTCGGCCTCGATACCTGACAAAGTTGGCGGTCGTAAAATCTTCCTTGTCGCCGCGACCCTACGCCCCGAAACCATGTACGGACAAACCAACTGCTTTGTCGGCCCCACCATCAAATACGGTGTGTTCGCTATGAACGACAAGGAGGCCTTCATTTGCACCTACCGCGCCGCGCGCAACATGGCCTTCCAGGGTATAACCCAAAGTCGCGGCGAAATTAACCAACTAATGGAATTCGACGGCTCTATTCTCGTCGGCACGCGCGTGAAAGCGCCGTTTGCGATTCACCCAGAGGTGTACGTGTTGCCGATGGAGAACGTCCTGCCCACCAAAGGCACCGGCGTCGTCACTTCCGTCCCTTCCGACTCCCCGGACGACTGCGCCACGCTTTCCGACCTCGCGAAAAAACCCGCGTTTTACGGAATCGAGGCTTCCTGGGCCGCTATCCCCCCAGTCCCTGTCCTATCTACGCCGACGTACGGCGACCTCATCGCCCCAGCGCTCATCAAGAGCATGAAAATTCAGTCTCAGAAGGATGTAAAGCAGCTTGCGGAGGCGAAGGAGATTGCGTATAAGGAGGGGTTTTATAATGGTGTCATGTTGGTGGGAGAGTTCAAAGGAATGAAGGTCGAGGAGGCGAAGCCGAAAGTTAGAGAGAGGATGATTGAGGCTGAGTTGGCCATGGCATATGCGGAGCCCGAAGGGTTAATCATCAGTCGAAGTGCGGATGAATGTGTTGTTGCGCTGATGGATCAGTGGTATTTGGACTATGGAGAGGCCGGTTGGCGTGCTGAAACTGAACGGTTGGTCGTTGCTTTCTTTTGGCTTCATCGTAAGCTAATTGTATGATGTTTTTTTGTTAGTTTGGTCAGCAACATGGAGCTGTACCAGACAGAAACTCGCCATTCATTTGAGAAGACGTTGGGTTGGTTGAACAAGTGGGCGTGTGCGCGTACGTATGGCTTGGGGTCACAGTTGCCCTGGGATCCGCAGTTCTTGGTCGAGTCACTGAGTGACTCCACCATTTACATGAGTTACTATACAGTAGCGCAGTTGTTGCACGGTAAGCGCCTCTATTTGTTGGTTTCAACTGTATCTTGACATTCCTTCTAGAAGACAGCATCGACGGCAGCAAACCTGGCCCTCTGGGAATTACCCCCGACCAAATGACCGACGAGATTTGGGAATACATTTTCTGCTCCGGCCCCTTCCCCTCTCCTTCACCCCTACCCCGCGAAAAGGCTGATGCCTTGAAGCATGAATTTGACTACTTCTATCCGTTGGACATTCGTTCTTCTGCGAAAGATCTCGTTCCCAATCATCTTACATTCTGCCTTTACAACCACGTCGCTCTGTTCCCCGAAGACAAGAGGCCGCGCAGCATGCGCACTAATGGGCACTTGCTGTTGAATGGCAAGAAGATGTCCAAGAGCACGGGGAATTCGTTGAGTCTGCGCGAGGCGACTAACAAATTCGGGGCGGATGCAACGAGGTTGACGTTGGCAGACGCAGGAGATGGCGTTGAGGACGCGAACTTTGACGAGAAAAGCGCCAATGCTAACATCTTGCGTGTACACACGTTGGTATTATGGTGTGAGGTGAGCGTTCATTTGTCTGTTGCTTGAGAGCTTGGATCGACTGCCCCTTCTAGGAAATGCTAAAAGAAGCGCCCAACCTGCGTCAAGGGCCGAAAACTTCGTATCACGACAAGGTCTTTGAGCATGAAATCAATGACCTGATCAATATAACTCAGTCCCACTACGAAGCGTGAGTTGGTGTTGGGATAGTTGACTTCTTGTTATTGACCTCCGCTCAGTCTGAACTACAAAGATGCCCTCAAATACGGCTTCTACGAGCTTCAAACTTCGCGCGACTGGTATCGCGAAGTCACTTCCGATATCTCCATGCATGCTGACTTGGTCATGTACTGGATTCGGGTCGCGACGTTGCTCATCTCACCCATTGCGCCACACTTCTCCGAACACATCTACCGCACATTCCTCCGATCACCGACCTCAATTCAGCGCGCGCTCTGGCCCACGCCCTCGACGCCGGTTGACGTTACAACGATCGAGTCGGGCGTGTACATGCGCGGAACGATCAAGACGATTCGTGATGCCGAGACCACGTTGGTGAAGTTGCTCACCAAGTCGAAGGGCAAAGGGGGCGCGAAGCCCGTCTCGTACGATCCGAGGAAGCCGAAAAGCGTGAGGGTGTATGTGGCGACGACGTTTCCAGAGTGGCAGGAGACGTGTGTGCAGGTCATCAGGGAGTGTTACGATGCGGGTACGGACAAGGTGGATGACGCGAGAGCGCGCACAATGCTGGGCGAGCGCGGGTTGATCAAGGACAAGCGGGTTATGCCGTTCTTCCAGGAGTTTAAGGCATGTTTTCTTGTCCTTTTCTTGGGGCTAATAATTGATTCTCCTTGCTTAGAAACGAATGGCGCAATTCGGGGCACAGACTGCGTTCCGTCGCACCCTCCCTTTCTCTGAGCGTGAGATTCTCGCAGAGGTGACACCGTATCTGAGAAAGTCGTTGAATTTGGTGGATGTGGAGATCTTTTCGACGGAGGATGCGTTGGAGAGGCAGGAGCAGGAAGGATTTACGAAGAGTATAATTGATACCGCGGAACCGGGGAATCCTGCGGTCCAGTATCGTAATGTGTAGACTAGAGCCAGGTACTTGCAATGATTTTAACTGGAGATGCGACGCTACGGTGAGCAATTGCCGTAGAAAACACCGAATGTAGATGTAAACCGCTGTCGACTGACGCAACGCTTTCGGGACCAGTACATTCAATTTTTCAGACGCCCTACGGTGCGTCGCAGGTTCACTAGGAGACTGAAGCAGATTTTGGGAGTCAGCAGTTGGAATCGGCGGCGCTCAGCATTGTTGATTTCTTCACTCTTAAAGGTCACCACGTCACGGTGTGCCTGGATGAGCACCACACGGTACCTACGCATTTTCAAAGTTACAACTTTGAAAGGAGTCCTGTTTCATATAATACTTCTTGGTTGGCACTCGGCACTGGTCGCGGGCGGGGCAAAGCCCACTGGCAGCCACGCAATTTTCCCAAAGGTGGAGGCATGGCGCACCCTTGCTTCGGGGTCTGGTTACAAGGTCTTGTGGATCCCGAGAACAGCTGCATTGGGGCAGTTTCATGAATGAGAGAGGCTGCTGCGAAACGATGTTCGACAGCAGCGTATCACCCGAGTCACCCAAAGTTCGGGAGAAGAGGAGCTGCATTTTCATGTTTTCAAGCCTGCCGCGCACCTCTGGTACTGCGAACTTGAACCTGGCGATGGGTGGGTTGGAATCCGCGCCGCGCCGTTGTTCAAGTAATTTCTTCATTCTCGCAAGTGGATGTCTTGAGGTTCACCCGGTCAGCGCGCGGGGCGCGCGTTGGTCGGCTCGATTCAGACCACCCTTGATGACAAGGTACCTCCACACATTTTTGAAAAATACAAGGAGTCATTGAGTCCTGTTTCATGAAGTAATTCTTGACTGGCAGTCGCGGGCGGGGCGGAGTCCCGCCGCTTGCTTCGGGGTCTAGTTGGAATTCAAAGGCCCAAAAACGGCTGTATTGCGTCAGTTCATGAATAAGAGTGTGTATTTTCCTGCGCAAACGATGTTCGACAGAAGCGGCGTATTACTTGGATATCGAGTCTCCCAAACACTGACGAGGAACTTTAATTTCAGGCCTGCTGAGCACCTGGTATTGTGAACCTGGCGATGCGTGGCTGAGAGCTATTGAAGCATCTCGGAGTTGGGAATCAGCGCGGCGCCGCGCCGCCGAAGTTGTTCAAGAGGAGTTGTCCAAGTTGATTCCAAGTAGTTGGCATTGTCACAAACATTTCGAAGTTCACCCGGACGGCGCGCGGGGGCGCGCGTTGGCGGGCTTAAATTGAGACCACCCTCCAGTACCTGCACATTGGAGTGTTGTTCCATAGGGTATTTATCAGATTTGGTTCGAGCTTGGCAGTGGCGGGCGGGGCGAAGCCCGCCACGCTGTTTTGCCAAAATGGTTTTTAGGGTCGAGAAGAAGTTTTGTAGATCTGAAAACGGCCTTGACAGTGAAGGTAAGTGTGCATTGTAATATCTTACAGGGCAGCGCAGAACGGAAGTTTGAAGTGGAAATAATGCAAAAAGGGGCAAAAATGACAACGATGGGATTCGAACCCATGCCACATTACGTGATGAGAAACCCACAACAGGCAAGCTGTCACACTTGAGTCACACGCCATAACCACTCGGCCACGTTGCCCTTGAAGCATTCACTGCGGAAAACAGTGTCAGACGGTCAGAAAATTTCCACCGACTTCGTCGGTGAAATTTCGCCGATGGAATCCATCGGTGAAAGTGTGACATCACACGTCACGTCCATCCCAAGAATTTACTCGATTGCAAAAATTTCACCACAAGATAGTACTACATGTTACGCATTCCAATACCCCCGTCGTGCCCCTTGCTTCTCCCTTGCCTCTTGATAGCTCTTTGCCTTTTCGACATTCTTCTTGGTTCCTGTACTATGTTTGCCTTTTGTAGTCCGAGTACCTGTACCAGTACCGTCTCTGACGGCATCCCGTCGGGCAGCTCTCAGATCCCTTGGTGTGGGTTGGGGCCTTCTTCTGCCACCTCGCGCTCCACCTCTCAGTCGATCTTCTGGCAGTGGCTCATTCGAGGGTAACATTGTGCCATGCAGATCAGAGCTCAAAAATGTCCTGTAATCTATTAGCACAATACAATGGTAATTCACAGCACGTACCAAAAAGTATTTGCACGAGTCTCAATATAATATCCGTAAGAGGGGAAACAGAAACCATATTCACCAGGCAGGGCATTCCAGTCAGTCGTAATGCAGCAACCACGGCATACATCCTTGTCTGTGTGTTGTGGGGCACAGTACCCTGTACAACGGTAGATGTTTGTGCCCGTCTTGCCCAATTGATCTGCAGTATCAGTCTCGCGCTTGAGGATTCTGTACGCCTGAAGGTGAACAGCCCTCATCACAGTCATCATGACTGTATTGTCCTTCTAACTGTCAGCCATGGAATGATGTTAGAAACAATGCACACCTCAACCTCGTTAAACACAACATCCATATCCTCGAGCGAATCTGCTTGAAATCCAGCTGTAGGTGTATATGCAGAACCACGTGCTCCACCCTTTGGCAAACTTGAACCAAAAGCTTCCATCTTACCGCTGCCAAAACCATCAAATTGTCTCCCTCTGACCAGAGATTTGGCTTTAGTTGCAGCCTCGTGATGTTCTTGCAGGCGCTTGAGTACATTCACAGGAAACGCTCCGTAAACAACCACGTCCAGCTGTAATCAGATCAGCAATTACAAAGGTGAGAATCATTTCTACCAATTCCCCATTCTCGGACACGAGATCTATAATCTGGGTCCCACACCGCTCAACAATAGCATCGTTTTGCTTGATAGCCTCAAGCAAACATCCCTTGGCAGCTAGCTCTGCAGGTGTGAATATTTCTGGCAGTGGCAGATGGGCACGTGATTTGGGACGCTGCATACATATTAATTGTAATAAAGCACCAGTCTTGTCCGACTCACAGGCTTTGGCTTCAGCTGCTGGTGTTTTGGTGCAAGGGTGATTCCATGGCCACGGAGCCACTGAACATCTTGTTTCTTGACAACCTTCTGTTGCCGACAATAGCTTGCCGGACCTTCTTTTACACACTTCTGGCAGGCATTATATGGTAAAGAAGCATTCTCTACCCTGGACTTTTCATCACCCTAGAGGTTGCTTAGCAGAACGTCACAAAAAACCAAACAACATCATACTGGTCGGCGTTGATTTATCCAGACCTTGGTAGCATCGTCAGAGTCACGCATCTCAATTGTGCGAGTGAGAATTTTCTTCATGACAGGCGGGAGCATTGATATCTTCTTGGTGTTGTTTCGCACGAATTGCATTAAAGTACTGTACAACTCTTCTGGTCGCACAATCTGAAGCTAAAGAAAGACTGGATTTTCAATACAACACCCTCGGAAGAGTACACATACATTATATCCCTTGCTCTGCAAAGCTATCCCTAGCCACTCAATTCCATGCACGCAGGAAAGCTGGCTGAGATGTAAAAAGACAGATTGAGTTGGAGATTAAACAGACGCGGGGAAATGTCACACTGTGACCGTGACTTCCCCACGCCTTCCCCGCGTCGTTTTTTTGGTCAACGTTTCGCTGGGGGGAACGTTGTTCCCCCCAGACCCCCCTCCTTTTGCCTGACGGCCTGTAATAGGTTTTGTGTTTAGTATGAATGTGTATTTAATTATTTCTGTCACATTTTCAACCAACTTTCAGTAAAATAACCCTGAATATTGAATAGTTGGGGGGACTTTTGCGGGCGCCGGCCCGGACGGCTGGGGTTTTCCACCCCAGACCCCGACCGCTGCGCGGGGCTGCGCTCGCCGCGAGGCCCACTGCGTGGTGCTACCGCTCGCCGCGGAGGCCCACTGCGTGGTGCTATCGCTCGCCGCTGGGGCCCACTGCGTGGTGCTGCCGCTCGCCGCGGAGTCCCGCTGCGCGGCGCCTGTATATTACCGTAGTAGTAAGTATATAACATTTTACATGCGTAGAGATAGTTTTTAGAGGTATATTATACTGTTCCCCGCGTATTGGTCGGCGGTGGGAAAGTTTTGTGACTGTGAACATCGTGACTGATCCCCGCGTCAGTTTAAATTCCGATTGAGTTTGGCACTCGGCGACGAGGGATAATCTGGTCATCCTCTTTCAGTATGCCCCACAGTACATCACGGTTATGTGCTGAGCTCCCAGTGGCTACAATTGTGAATGTTAATCCCCTATATGGTATAGTATAAGACACTCACAGGCGCAGGTTTGAATTCAATTGGAATTTTTTGCCAGGACTTGGACTCGACAACCCACGAGTCTAAGACTGCGCAAAAAAACTATCTTGTGCACGATTTTTCAAAAACAGATCATCTGCAGCAGTATTATTTGTTTGAAGTAGTGTAGATGTCTGCGAGATATTGCAAAACGTTTTTCCCAAATCACTGTGCTAATCTGCCTTCAACACTACGAAAAAATATTGAGACGGTATCATACCTTCACCGCCTCAAGCCAATTGGAACTCGTCAACTTGACCTGTCTCATCTGTCGAAGCACAAGGACAGCACTGTCATATATTGCCTCTTTGGTGTTGCCTAGCAATTCCTTGTTAATATACGTGAAAGCAGAGCCATTGGACACAAACCTCAGATGACGAAAGGAATGCTCGAACAAGCACAGAATTCCAGTCACGACAAAGCGGATACCACCAATCCGGATCAGCAAGTAGAGTTCTGCGCCAGAGATGCTTATGCTTTTTGTCGGGAACCATAGATCGAAATGTACGAAAAGCAGGAGAGATGTCATCCTCGTGCGTCTCAACGTTCACAGGAGGGCTGGGATCTACATCCATAGGGTCATCAAGCTCTCAAGCTCCTCCAAGGCCATGGGCTCAGAGTCACTCCCTGTATCCGACTCGTGGGTCTGTGAAGGCGTCGTCCTCCGAGTCGCTGCTATTGCTATCAGATTCCCATGCATTCTGCTCAAGTTGGTCAACAACACAGAATTGCGCCTTGAGACGCTTTGGCAATGGTGTCCTGCGTAGAATGAGTACAGGACATTGTTTTGCACACTTCAACTCACAAGGTTACCCAGTTGTGTATTTTGAAATGATTTCAAACACTGTATGGCTTCGAAAGAATTGTTGTTTGATTGAACTTGAATGAATAGCTCCCCGCAAGCTGCAAAGGAGAGATCATCCACCGGTAGGGCCAGTACAAGCAGCTGTCCAATCCCTGAGCTCAACAAGCTAAGACTGCATCAGCTCCATTTGTAGAGGACAACCGCTACACCTACAAGATCAACGGGGGAACTCAGGAGGCTTTGCAAGGTTTGTTGCGCGTTACGAGGCACTCAGATCTCAAGGTTTTGATATGTGTCTTCTTGAACACAGACAGCTCTCCAAAGTCATTCAGAGTCAAGTCGACCAACGGCTCGACCAACGTAAGGCTCAGGGGGGAAACAGACATGGTGGGATGAGTGAAAGAGACGCGAGAAAAGAACACATGTTTACCTCGTGTTCTGCGTCTATTTGACTTGAGGCTCACGTTGGCGCTTTCCTAAATCAGGCGTGTGCAAAGAACCCGTATAATCACTGGTATTCACGTCTACTTGCCCGCTGCCACATACAGGTATTCGACGAGAACGACACCAGTCGCAAGAGTAACTCATTGGCACTAGATGAATCGAGAACGGGTCTCTACAGTAAAGTTTATTGCACGTAGAGGTTGAGATTCTAAAATCATATCAGCGTAAGAAATGGTTTCTGCGGCGTACTCACAACCAAAGGACACAACATTCTGGTCAAACTTCAAGACTAGAGAGAAATTGGATTGAGGATGTCGGTGGTAGAGACAACGCCACCACCTTCGTTTTAGAACACCCGATACAAAGCGGAAGATCAATCGCAGAGGCAGCCGGGATGTCGCTGACACAACCGAAGAAGACGGGCACTTTGAAAGGATAGACGATGTACTTTGAGGCTCGATCGGAAGCGGCAGACAACGTAGCGGCTGAAGCACACTGAAAGAATAACATTAGCTTGGAAAGTAACGAAGAAAAAAGAGGACGCACGGAAAGTGTGCGTGAAGATCGCGGGAAACGCCGCGAACGACACAAAATACGCCATGCACAATGCAGCCGTCATGAACATCGGGGAGTAGGCAGCATAGAGCTCAGTAAGGCATTCCGGTGTTGTCGAAGGAAACAAAAGCCGACAGAGGGAGGTAGGCGGTGAGCAAGACGTTCTTAACTGTGACGATGTGTGAGATTGGGACTGCAAACAAAGGAGGGAAATACTTACAGTACAAGATGGGCACGATGAACAAGAAGCAGACTATCACCGACGCAATTGTGTTCATTCGGACCACCACTAAAGAAGCAGACGTAAGGAAACCGGTATCGAGGAAGAAAGAAAGACGACGCACGGGGGTAACGACAGGCGAGCCAATGAACGAGATCATAGACCAATCGAACGTGATGACGCTCATACCCATACCACTGAGCGAGCCAAACACAGCATTGACCTTGACGTTGTTGGGAGCGATCCAGCAAATCCAATTGAACACGCTGAGCGCGGTGAAAAGGTACCCAGGGAACCAGTACCACACAAAGCTGCACGCGCAAGCAATAAGGAAGAACCGTTCCCGCGTCATATGTCCGCGGTCGCGCTTT